TGCGCCCCTTCGGTCTTTGAAATTTTTAAGGGTGAGGGTGAAATATGTTTTTCAACTTTTCTCAAAAACGGCCCGTACTGACAGGTTCAAATTGTTACTAGACATTATTTAGATCACAAAGAACAATAAAAAAAATATATACCATAGCCCTGCGCCCCTTCGGTCTTTGAAATTTTTAAGGGTGAGGGTGAAATATGTTTTTCAACTTTTCTCAAAAATGGCCCGTACTGACAGGTTCAAATTGTTACTAGACATTAATTAGATCACAAAGAACAATAAAAAAAATATATACCATACCCCTGCGCCCCTTCGGTCTTTGAAATTTTTAAGGGTGAGGGTGAAATATGTTTTTCAACTTTTTTCAAAAACGGCCCGTACTGACAGGTTCAAATTGTTACTAGACATTAATTAGATCACAAAGAACAATAAAAAAAATATATACCATACCCCTGCGCCCCTTCGGTCTTTGAAATTTTTAAGGGTGAGGGTGAAATATGTTTTTCAACTTTTCTCAAAAATGGCCCGTACTGACAGGTTCAAATTGTTACTAGACATTAATTAGATCACAAAGAACAATAAAAAAAATATACCATACCCATGCGCCCCTTCGGTCTTTGAAATTTTTAAGGGTGCAATACGGTGAAATATGTTTTTCAAGTTTTCTCAAAAACGGCCCGTACTGACAGGTTCAAATTGTTACTAGACATTATTTAGATCACATAGAACAATAAAAAAAATATATACCATACCCCTGCGCCCCTTCGGTCTTTGAAATTTTTAAGGGTGAGGGTGAAATATGTTTTTCAACTTTTCTCAAAAATGGCCCGTACTGACAGGTTCAAATTGTTACTAGACATTAATTAGATCACAAAGAACAATAAAAAAAATATATACCATACCCCTGCGCCCCTTCGGTCTTTGAAATTTTTAAGGGTGAGGGTGAAATATGTTTTTCAACTTTTTTCAAAAACGGCCCGTACTGACAGGTTCAAATTGTTACTAGACATTAATTAGATCACAAAGAACAATAAAAAAAATATATACCATACCCCTGCGCCCCTTCGGTCTTTGAAATTTTTAAGGGTGAGGGTGAAATATGTTTTTCAACTTTTCTCAAAAATGGCCCGTACTGACAGGTTCAAATTGTTACTAGACATTAATTAGATCACAAAGAACAATAAAAAAAATATACCATACCCATGCGCCCCTTCGGTCTTTGAAATTTTTAAGGGTGCAATACGGTGAAATATGTTTTTCAAGTTTTCTCAAAAACGGCCCGTACTGACAGGTTCAAATTGTTACTAGACATTATTTAGATCACATAGAACAATAAAAAAAATATATACCATACCCCTGCGCCCCTTCGGTCTTTGAAATTTTTAAGGGTGAGGGTGAAATATGTTTTTCAACTTTTCTCAAAAATGGCCCGTACTGACAGGTTCAAATTGTTACTAGACATTAATTAGATCACAAAGAACAATAAAAAAAATATACCATACCCATGCGCCCCTTCGGTCTTTGAAATTTTTAAGGGTGCAATACGGTGAAATATGTTTTTCAAGTTTTCTCAAAAACGGCCCGTACTGACAGGTTCAAATTGTTACTAGACATTATTTAGATCACATAGAACAATAAAAAAAATATATACCATACCCCTGCGCCCCTTCGGTCTTTGAAATTTTTAAGGGTGAGGGTGAAATATGTTTTTCAACTTTTCTCAAAAATGGCCCGTACTGACAGGTTCAAATTGTTACTAGACATTAATTAGATCACAAAGAACAATAAAAAAAATATACCATACCCATGCGCCCCTTCGGTCTTTGAAATTTTTAAGGGTGCAATACGGTGAAATATGTTTTTCAAGTTTTCTCAAAAACGGCCCGTACTGACAGGTTCAAATTGTTACTAGACATTATTTAGATCACATAGAACAATAAAAAAAATATATACCATACCCCTGCGCCCCTTCGGTCTTTGAAATTTTTAAGGGTGAGGGTGAAATATGTTTTTCAACTTTTCTCAAAAATGGCCCGTACTGACAGGTTCAAATTGTTACTAGACATTAATTAGATCACAAAGAACAATAAAAAAAATATATACCATACCCCTGCGCCCCTTCGGTCTTTGAAATTTTTAAGGGTGAGGGTGAAATATGTTTTTCAACTTTTTTCAAAAACGGCCCGTACTGACAGGTTCAAATTGTTACTAGACATTAATTAGATCACAAAGAACAATAAAAAAAATATATACCATACCCCTGCGCCCCTTCGGTCTTTGAAATTTTTAAGGGTGAGGGTGAAATATGTTTTTCAACTTTTTTCAAAAACGGCCCGTACTGACAGGTTCAAATTGTTACTAGACATTAATTAGATCACAAAGAACAATAAAAAAAATATACCATACCCATGCGCCCCTTCGGTCTTTGAAATTTTTAAGGGTGCAATACGGTGAAATATGTTTTTCAAGTTTTCTCAAAAACGGCCCGTACTGACAGGTTCAAATTGTTACTAGACATTATTTAGATCACATAGAACAATAAAAAAAATATATACCATACCCCTGCGCCCCTTCGGTCTTTGAAATTTTTAAGGGTGAGGGTGAAATATGTTTTTCAACTTTTTTCAAAAACGGCCCGTACTGACAGGTTCAAATTGTTACTAGACATTATTTAGATCACAAAGAACAACAACGTTTTTGAGAAAAGTTGAAAAACATATGTCACCGTATTGCACCCTTAAAAATTTCAAAGACCGAAGGGGCGCAGGGGTATGGTATATTTTTTTTATTGTTCTTTGTGATCTAAATAATGTCTAGTAATAATTTGAACCTGTCAGTACGGGCCGTTTTTGAGAAAACTTGAAAAACATATTTCACCGTATTGCACCCTTAAAAATTTCAAAGACCGAAGGGGCGCATGGGTATGGTATATTTTTTTTATAGTTCCTTGTGATCTAAATAATGTCTAGTAACAATGTGAACCTGTCAGTACGGGCCGTTTTTGAAAAAAGTTGGAAAACATATTTCACCCTCACCCTTAAAAATTTCAAAGACCGAAGGGGCGCAGGGGCATGATATATTTTTTTTATTGTTCTTTGTGATCTAAATAATGTCTAGTAACAATTTGAACCTGTCAGTCAGTACGGGCCGTTTTTGAGAAAAGTTGAAAAACAAATTTCACCCTCACCCTTAAAAATTTCAGTGACCGAAGGGGCGCAGGGGTATGGTATTTTTTTTTATTGTTCTTTGTGATCTAAATAATGTCTAGTAATAATTTAAACCTGTCAGTACGGACCGTTTTTGAGAAAAGTTGAAAAACATATTTCACCCTCACCCTTAAAAATTTCAAAGACCGAAGGGGCGCAGGGGTGTGGTTAATTTTTTTTTAATGTTCTTTGTGATCTAAATAATGTCTAGTAATAATTTGAACCTGTCATTACGAACAGTTTTTGAGAAATGTTAAGAAACAGTTTCACCTTCAAAAATTTCAATGACCGTAGATTTGTACCTACTAATACTAATAAGAAAATATTGGGAATTTTCATGTGATATCCTTAGGGAGCACCTAATAAGCCGTTGTTACAAGAGATAAAGGTAAAATATAAAATATACATATATAAAAAAAACCGACGCCACTGAACCTTCGGCTGTTTCCGGAAAATTGTCTGATAACTTTTGTCTGATAACTTCACATCAGTCTCAATAAAGCCCTAAGAAAAAGAAGCCTGATATAAATATACACTAACATCAAATATCTTGGTCAGTATTTTGTTAATTTCAAATATAATATTTCAGTTATGACAATATTTTACATTTCAATAATTTCCGTGCATCGAAACTGCCAATAAGAAATAACCAGAAAGTACCTATACCTATACTTTCCCAATTTTTTCGCAAGTCGATTAACGTGCCCGGGTTATCGAAGCGATCCAAAGCCATTTTCGATTCGATTCGCAGGAAGGTCGGTCGATATATAACATAATATCGTGCGTATTGCATCTTTCGACCTCCACGAAATTCAATCGAGAGTTTAATTGATTTAAATCGCTCCATAATAGAATAGTCAAACTAAATTTGGTGCTGCGATACATTAATTTGTGTCAGCGGAATTTGATTAAAAACAAACTCTATGGTGCGATTTTTTCTATAAGAAACATTTAATGTCACATGTCCACAGATAAAATTCTTTTAAAAAAATTTTCAAACAAAAATCTCGCAATATTGTACACATCTACACGATAATTATAATTGTGCAATTGTAACCGTCAAATACAACAACAAGAAATCCAATAAAGCCATATACTCTCCAATTGGTATTCAATGGTGTCATTACCATCGGTAAATTACGAAGAATGTAATACATTTTTTTTTTAAATTCAAGTCTGTAATACTGTGTGACGCAATGGTTGGCGACCTTCCCATACATGCGGATGACTTTTGTTTGTGGTACCTACCTAAATTGTGGTTATTACCAGAAAATCCAAGAAATGTTTTTATGGTTATATACACATTACAGAAGTTCAAGGAAACCGGATCAAAAAGTCCGCGTTTTATAATTTAACAAAATCACTACAGATTGTTGGAAATTTATTGTAATCTATGCAATGTTCGGCAAGAAAAAAGTTAGGTAAAACCCATCCTGGCATGGCCTTTCTGAAGAATCAATGACTTTGAGAAGCACAAAGGCGCCCGACCAAGAAAATAGTTTTTAAATCATTCAAACGTATTTTGCATAAATAAACAAAACTGTATAGATACTGTACAAACATGATTCATTCCCGAGGAAGAACTCTAGACGTTGTGTCAATGTCCATTATAAATTTTAGTACTAATTCTTCCTGGAAGGAATATTTTGTATTCTCCTTTGGTAACTGATTTATTTGTTTACAACTTGTATGTCATTATATTATTTTCATTGTCCTTTACCCAAATATACATAATTATAACGCAGAAAATTTGAGTGACAATTGAGTTAATCTTATTTTTCTTTTTTTTTTTTTCAGATTAGAAAAATGAGTACAATTACCAGTAGTCATAGCAATTATACCGGATTTTTTAGAGTTAAATCAGGTATGTAATCTAATAAGTTTTTGATTGGTGTGAAAATATTCATATAATTACCAAATGATAATAAGAAAAAATGAATGCCTAGGGTGTTTTCTAATAATTGAATGTCAACATTTTCAAGGGGGCGATTTCAAGGAAAAGAAAACTTCATATGAACGTATTTTTGAAATGTTTGTACTTATTTATTTCTGAAATGCATAGGTACCTATATGAATATATATGGGAATGTAATGATAACTTATAAACAAAAACAGCATCTTCAACATAAATCATTGTTCAACAATGTATCACAATTATTATTATTATTATTTTCTCGAGTCTCGAACTAAGATTATATCTTCAAAAACCCGCATTAGTTGAATTAAGATAGCAAAAATCATTTTATTCTATACTTCATACATCATAAGGCTTTGTCAGTCATGATCAAATCACCGGATGCTATCAAATTGATCGGATTTGGATTCCAAAAAGATATGTACAGGGTGTTTCCTTATATTTTGACTCCTACCTACAGCTTTAGCTATTCGAGATGGAAAAAAACTTTAAGCATGAAAGTTGTAGGGTTTTATGTCTATTATCTTTTGCGAATGTCAAAATGGGCAAATGACAGGTGCCAACTGTCACAATGACAAACACTTGCATTTTTCAAATGGAACACCCTGTATATTTTTGGCTAGAATGATAGATTTTTTTTCTTCTGATTTCAAATATACCATATGTTGATATTTGGTTCAGCTGTTTCCACGCTATTCAAATTTAAAAATGCATTTACATTACCGGTAATTTAATCTGTCCTGGTTTCTTATATCAATGATGAGCTTGCTCAATGCAGTTTTAAAATTAAATAGCGCAAAAACAACTGAACCAAATATCAACACATATGGTATATTTGGAATCAGAAGAAAAAAAGCTATCATTCTAGCCAAAAATATACAGGGTGCGTTCCATTTGAAAAATGCAAGTGTTTATCATTGTGACAGTTGGCACCTGTCATTTGCCCGTTTTGACATTTGCAAAAGTTAATAGACATAAAACTCTACAACTTTCGTATTTTAATTTTTTTTCCACCTCGTATAGCTAAAGCTGTAGGTAGGGGTCAAAATATAAGGAAACACCCTGTAAAAGGTTATTAGTTATAAATGTCACCCCCTCTATCTTTTTTATTTGACATTTTAGGAAAAAGTGTTCCAAGTAAAAGTTTTATGGTTGAAATTAAATTTTTTGAAAAACTCAGTTTCGCATATTACAGGCTGTTTCAGAAAAGCTGGTCGTGCTCCAAATTTCTTATTTCAAATGGAATACCCTGTATAGTATTGGATCTTCGAATTCTACAGTAAATTCTGAGCAGATTTCATGTGATATACCCTATACCTAAGTTCAACTGTTTTGGAAATATTGACATTTGAAAATTGACTTTTTTGCCATTTTGACATGCTGTAAATCCTGAACGGTTAATTTTAGAGCAAAACCGATCTCACATTTTTGTCTTAGATTTTCAGAAGTTATCATTTGACATCAAGTTTGAATTTAACCGGAGAATAATTTTAATTGGAATTTTCAATAATGGATTAAATTCAAAGTTGGTGCCAAATATTGGTGTCAATTGATAGCTCTGGTTCAACTGTTTTGGAAATATTGACAGTTGAAAATTGACTTTTTGCAACTTTGACAGGTTGTAAAACCTGAACAGTTAATTTAAGAGGAAACCCGATTTTACATTCCTATCATAGATTTTCATAAATTATCATTTGACTGACACCAACTTTGAATTTAACCGGAGATTAAATTTAACTGGAGTTTTTATTCATGGATTAAATTCAAAGTTGGTGCCGACTGATAGTTTATAAAAATCTAAGATAGGAATGTTAAATCGGTTTTCCTCCAAAATTAATCGTTTAGGTTTTATAACCTGTCAAAGTTGCAAAAAGTCAATTTTCAACTTTAAATATTTCCAAAACAGTTGAACTTAGGTATAGGGTATATCACATGAAATCTGCTCAGAATTTTACCTAGAATTTGAATATCCAATAATATACAGGGTATTCCATTTGAAATAAGAAATTTGGAGCTCGACCAACTTTGAAACTGAAACACCCTGTATATGCGAAAGTGAGTTTTTCAAAACATTCAATATCAACCATAAAACTTTTATTTGAGACACTTTTTTCTAAAATGTCAAATAAAAAAGATAGAGGAGGGTGACATTTATAACCAATAACCCTGTATTTGCCTTGTGCTCAGAAATTGATAGTAAATCCATTGCAAAGATCAAATTCCAAATTTTCTTTTTCAGATCCCAGAACTGCCGATTGGCCTTTAGTGTCAAACCCTTTATACACATTAGGAATATGTCTTTCATATGTATATGCTGTGAAGGTAAGCCATTTAAATTAATTTAACAGATATAAAGACAAAAATAGTAATTTGTATGGAAAATTTACAATAGTTACTTTAAAAAAAAAAAAAAAAAACATCAAAATTCCAACTATAAATTTAATAACACTGTTCCATACTGATGTTGTTTACTCATATTCGTTTCTCTTTAATGAAGGAATTTACCCAATAATAATTACCTCACACGGCAATACTTGCATAATAATGAAGAATAGATAAATTAAGATGATTGTCTATTTAAGAATACCCATATATTATTTGGTTTTGCACATTTGGTGTAATTGGTTTCTGTCTGGTTTGCTTGTTAATATTTATTTTCAGTTTCGTGTACGTTTTTACTTGCAGCTTTTCAACTCTGATTTTGTATTGTATAGCTTAATTTAAATACACAAAAATCAAATGGCAAACTATGATGGGCCCTTGTTAATTATTAAACTTTTTCCCAGTGTGTCATGTAGGTACTTGATAGTGAATTTGATACCTACATTTGTAAACAAGATTATGATAGGTACCTACTTATTTAGTTTTTTTTTTCAGTTCCTAGGACCGAAAATAATGGAAAATAGAAAACCATTCCAACTAAAGAATACATTAATTCTATATAATTTTTTACAAGTAATATTTAGTGCCTGGCTGTTTTATCAAGTAAGTATAAATAATATTTTAACAAATGCCCTACCAACTTAGGATAACACAATATTTCCCTTTTTCTTTAAGATATTTGCCTCAAATAGTTATTAAAGGATATTTTCCCCATTATCATTTCCATGTACACAAAATTTGATTAGGTACCTATATGGAATGTAATCAGCAATTTCCTTCAGAATATTATGAAATTCTTTCCATTATATTGAACTGACAAACATCTCTTATTTGATTGGTAAAGCTAATTTGCTTAAACCTAATTTAATATCCACCAAAGTGGCATCAAACACATCATCAAATGAGATGTAATTTAGTAATTTCCTTAAAAATGCCCCTTCCCCAATGTACGAATCTATTGCATCTTATCATATCTGCACAACTAAGCAAGTTTTTTTAAATGCCATTTTCCGAGTTCCTTGTCTGATCTTACAACCCTAAAAGGTCATCAATTACGCATATTGTTAACCCCAACCGTTTGAAAATAAAAATACAAAAAATAAGTGATTTGTGTGTTAATTACTAACAATAATTAATATTGATATTTTCGAAAAGACAATGGTTCATTAATTTGTATCAGTAATTTGAAAAAAATTGATATAATTTTTAATTCATGATCAATTCCTTTCCGTTATAATTAGCATAATTTAGACTATTTAGTTTAATTTTTCAATTAATTTGATTTTTATTTATTTTTTAGATTGGTATGGGCGGTTGGCTCACGGGTGAATATAGCTTTAGATGTCAACCAGTAGATTATACGAATAAACCTAGTACAATCCGAGTAAGTCAAAAAAACTCTCATAAAATTATATCGAAAAAATATATTTTTTATTTGTAGATGGTGCACGCATCCTGGTGGTATTTCTTTTCGAAATTTACAGAGTTTTTTGATACAGTAAGCATTAGAAAACCCACCCTTGAAAATAAAACAATTTACCAATATTTTTTACAGATATTTTTCGTGTTAAGGAAAAAGTTCGATCACATCAGTACATTACACGTCATTCATCATGGAATTATGCCAATGTCTGTGTGGTTTGGAGTAAAATATTGCCCAGGTAAATTATTCGAAAACAGCATGCAGTGACCTAAATAGTGTTTAATTTTCATCCCGTACAACATTGTTTGTTTTTAAACGTTTCCACCCCAAGCACGCAATTTAGCATAATTATACTATAGGTCATAGTTTAAAGTTTTCTAATTAAATTAAAAATAACGTACTTATGTGTGGTCACCATGTAATTTGTTTGCATTGGGGAAAAAAATGTATTACAAAAATGCTCATAGTATGTTAGATTCAGACTATTTTTCAAAATATTCTCATGATCTGTTCCTACAGAAAACACAAACCAGTCAGAGCGAATTCTATTGTTCAAAAAAAAACTGGTTGTTGGCCCAATCAAAACCGCTCTGACTGGTATTTGATTTCTGTGAGATCACTTGATCTAATTGCTAGTTCTTGACAAAGAATTTATATTTTTTTAGGAGGACATAGCACATTCTTCGGACTGATTAACACGCTCGTCCACGTTGTGATGTATTTCTACTACTTCCTCACTGCCTTCGGACCTGCCACTCAAAAATACCTGTGGTGGAAGAAGTACCTTACAACTTTCCAAATGGTAAGTTAAATTATCGAAATCATCAACGGGAAAAATAGATACGATCTGTGGTTTTACCGTCAATGTCAAACATACATACCTATCATTCAGAATTTTATGTAAAGTGAATGAAGCTATTTCTTAACAGTTTCACTCGTTATCTACCAATGTTAAATATAACCTAAGAATTTTAAGCTGTCTGGAAACAGACCCAACATTTCTGTCACGCAAGCCAGAGCCGTAACATTGGTGTCAGAAGTGAGATATAATTCGAGGACAGTGAGGACTGCAAAGTGAAATCCGATTGCAGAATAGTGCGGACTACTTCGGACAGTAGTGTGAACACTTAGTAAACACTAGGACAGTTAGTCAGTGTAAGCAGGGACAATCACCAAAAGAGACTTGACCGATTATGTAAATTACCCCGGAAGTGACTGTATGCAGATTTCATTTAAGAAGAAGCTTTGTATTTGTGATGGATATTCAAACCGGACGAACCAGTTTAATTCAACAAAAAATTGATACTGGATTGGCACACCCAATTAGACAATCACCTCGACGTATGCCAGTAGCTGAACAACAGGAAGTGGAAAATCAAATTGATAAAATGCTTCAAGAGGGAATTATTGAAGAGTCAAATAGTCCATGGTCTCCGCCAGTAGTATTGGTTACAAAGAAAGATGGAAGTCTTAGATTTTGTGTGGACTACCTTAAGCTCAATGACGTCACCAAGAAAGACAGCTTCCCTCTGCCGAGGATACACGATACATTAACAACTCTATCGGGCTCCAAATGGTTTTCCACCTTGGATCTCAAAAGTGGATCTGGCAAGTGGCATTACACAGAGATGACAAGGAGAAAGTTGCCTTCAGTACCGGAAGCGGGTTATACCAGTTTTGCGAGGCCTTACATGGAGAACTTGCCTGGTATATTTAGATGATGTCATGATCATGGAAAATTCGTTCTAAGAACATCTCAATAACCTGAAAGAAGTTTTTGACCGCTTCCGGAATGCCAACTTAAAACTAAATCCAAATACTTAGATAAGTGTTTCCTATTTCAAAAAAAAGTGGAATTCTCAGGTCACGTGGCATCTGAAGATGACATACAAATTATGGAAGGAAAAATAGATGCTGTCAGGGATTGGCCAAAACCACGCGACAAACATAAACTAAGGAGTTTTCTAGGATTATGTTCTTATTATCGAAGACTTGTGGAAGGATTCGCCAAATATAGCTGCTCCGCTTCATCGATTAACAGAAGAAAAATCAACATTCAATTGGACCCAAGAATGCGATTCCGCATTTAGAAAATTAAAAGGAGCATTATGTACAAGCCCAGTGTTGTCCTATCCCGATCAGAAGGGCATGTTGATTTTGGACACAGATGCAAGCAACCCCAGTATTGGAACGGTACTTTCACAAATTCACAAGAGCATGTCGTAGAGTACTACATCAGAACCTTATCAAATCCAGTACGAAATTATTGTGTCACCAGAAGAGAGTTGCTTGCCATAGTAAAAGCAGTCGACCATTTCCATAAGTATCTCTACGGACGTGATATTCTGATTCGAACAGATTACGCAGCTCTAAAATGGCTTTTAGAAATTAAAACTCCCGAAGGACAGCTTGCTAGATGGATTGATAAATTGAAGCAATACGATTTCCAAATTTAACATTTATCTGGAAACCTGCATAAAAATGTTGCCGTCTAGACAGACAATGTAAAGAAGATTGCAAGCATTGTCAAAGAATCGATATGCATGAGAAGTACACTGGTCCAGCTGTGAGAAGAACGGGTCTTATCGTTGATGATAAATGAACTACCAAACAAATGAGAGCGGATCAAGAGGTAGACTAGGACATCGGGCAGCTTATACTTCTTAAAGAAAATGATAAATGTAAGCCAGAATGGAGGGAAGTGTCGAATAAGAGTTTGATTTACAAAGCGTTGTGGCCTCAGTGGAACTCTCTGGACGTAGAAAATGGTTTACTGAAAAGAGTTTGGGAAAGTGCCGATGGGAAAACTACCAAGAGCCAACTATAGTTATTCCAAAAGATCGAGTAGATGATGTATTAAATGAAATACATGACGGAACTTCAGTGGCACGTTTTGGAGTTAACAAGACTTTGGACAAAATTCGAGAACGTTTTTACTGGGATTACTATCATGAAGACGTTAAAAACTGGTGCCGAAAATGCGACATCTGTACTACCACTGCTACCAGTACAGGCCCTAAACTAAAATCTCGAGGGCCCATGAGACAGTACAACGTCGGTCTCCCATTTGAAATAATAGCGATAGATGTAGCCGGACCGTTCCCTGAGTTAGAGCGTGATATCAAATACATCTTGGTTATCATGGATTACTTTAGTAAATGGCCAGAAGTTTTCGCTATTCCCAATCAAGAAGCCATCACTATTGCCCAGGTGCTAGTGGACGAAGTTTTCCGTCGTCATGGTGTGCCACTAAAGTTGCATTCAGATCAGGGACGAAACTTCGAATCTGCCATCTTCAAGAAAATTTGTGAGATCATGCCGATCATGAACACTCGTGAGACACGGACCACACCTTTACATCCACAGTCTGATGGCATGGTAGAACGATTTAATAAAACCATAGATGAACACCTGACCAAAGTGGTCCCAAAGAACCAGCGAGATTGAGACAAACATTTACCTCTATTTTTAATGGCTTACAGAGCAGCTGTTCAGGAGTCAACAGGTGAAAGTCCAGCTAGAATCGTTTTTGAAAGGGAACTCAGGTTACCTTGCGATCTGATGTTTGGAATAGCTGAAGAAGAACGAAAAGAAATATGTCGAGAATATGTCGACGAAGTTAGGGCATGACTTCTAGTGATACATGATTTTGCTCAGGAGCATATTCAGCTTTACCAGTGCGACTGAATGAACACCAGATGCGACTTGAAAGCCAATTCAGCCGGATTTCAAGAAGGTGATTTGGTGTGGCTGTATAATCCCACAAGAAAAATAGGAGTGTCGCCGAAATTGTCTTCAGCGCGGAAAGAACCCTATGGAATAATCAAGAGGATTAATGATTTGGTTTATCGAGTTCAGCGCAACACCAGGAGTAAGATGAAAGTTGTATATCTGGACTGATTAACGAAATATCATGGGCGCGAAGTTGATCGGGACGATCAACCTTAAGAGGAGGGCAGTGTGTCGGTAGGCTTTCGCTAGGGTATACAGAATCCATGCCTAAAATTCCAGAAAATACTGCCTTGTTCAAGAAATGGGATTATCGCCTTTATTATGGATTTTACAAGAATGGATTACAGATATATTATAAAGGCCCGTATTAGTTAGTGGTTCAGTTTTAAGATTGGCTGTGATATGATTTAGATAGTGATTATTGTAAGAGTTTTAAAGAGTTAAGTTGTTTGAGTTAATTAGTGAAGTAATTAGTGTCAGAGTGTGTAGTAACATGGACTAAATTATTGTGGTGTTAATTGGACGTTGATTTTGGAATAAACGAACCCAAGATTCCTGTCACGCAAGCCAGAGCCGTGACAATATGTTTAAAATATGGCAATGATGTTTAGTGGACTTTGATGTGTGTGTCAGTTTATGTAGTCGTTAATAGTCATATTCTATCAGAGAATAATTATAGTGGCGTGTTCTTATATTGTCCTTGGTTTATCAAGAATATATTCAGTATAAAACCGATAAATTCTAATAATCATGTGTCAAATTCAGCACTATAAGCAATAATTTTTAATTTCCAGGTTCAGTTCATAGCTATCATGGTGCATGCATTCCAACTACTTTTCATCGACTGCAACTACCCAAGAGTGTTCGCCTGGTGGATAGGGTCTCACGCGGTACTATTCTTCTTCCTCTTCAAAGACTTCTACCAAAAGTCCTACAGGGGTAGCAGGAGAGCGAAACTGGCCGCTAGCAACGGAACCGTGCACCAAAACGGTGTTTCGAAACAAAACGGTACCACCGCCAATGGCGTCTCAAAAACTAATGGCCAAGTCAAAGACGCTAGCGAATACTACGTTAACGGTGTCAATGGTGCGACGGAGCTACATCAAAGGTTAAAACGAGGGTTGAAACATCAATGATCTGCATTGTTCTAGTACTTAGCGATGAAATATTATTAATTAAATTAATATTTAGGATTTTTTGTTTTGGATAAGGGAATCGATATTAGTAGATACCTGTGGTAGAGGCGGACAAGTTTTGGTCTATGCTTGAAGTGGTACCTAAGCAAAAATAGGGCCATATATTAAAATATTTGGGTGTAATGTTTATCAAATTTAGTTGCAGAATTTCTTTTGAAGCATTTTCAGGATTATGGTGTAGGGTGCTGTCCAGCGAGGACTGAACAGAAGCTTATTTTTGAAAAAATCCAAAATAGTTTTCTTATGTATTTTTGCCTGCAGATGGCTATTTAGGATTTAAGATTTTTTCATTTCTCAAAAATACAGGGAAATTCAAAACTAAGCCTCTGTTCAGTCCTTGTTGGAACAGCCTGTATACAAATCCTATACAACTTTAAGATGAATCATAAGAATAATTCCTAGTTTTTTGACGTCAGTGTGACATTAGGAAATACCCTTACATATCCTGAATTAATTTCATATTCTGCGCAACAACGGATTTCGGATTTCCAATTTTCTGAAATTAATTTTGGTAAACAAAAGGAAAGAATCTAGTCCGATAAATTATCGTGTTAATTAGATTACTCCTATGGAATCCTTAATACTAAAGGTTTAGGTATGCTTAGGTGTAGGTATTTTAAAAAAAAATTAAACATCCTTTTTTAGCAATTCGAGATCTTGCTCAATTTTTATAAATACTATTTTATTCGAAACAATATTTCAAAAATATTGTCGAAAAAGTTGAAGGTAAGTTTTTTGTATTATAGTTTTATTTGGTAGGTGTACTAGGTTATATAGAAAAAGGAATTACTTAATTACAGCTTAAGTTTAAAATTAGTTGTAGAAGTGTACGGGTGCCTTCCAAGACTTATGAAATCTATTAATTATTTTAATATTTTTGTTGTTGTATTGGTTAATAAGTTCGGAAAATGTCTCAGCTATAATATATAATGTGTTTTTTGTTGTGTATGTATTTTACAGTGTGGGTCAAATTTGATAAATTCATGGCAACCAGATGCTCCAAACTGAATTGGCAAAATAACTATTTCAAATAAAAACCTTCCAAAAGAGTTAAAAGAAATATACAGAGGATCTTGGCTAGTTAAATGTATGTTTTTTTATAAGCTCCCTGAAAATTTTCTAAATTTTATAAGTTTATTAAAAAATAGTACTTTTGTATCTTTTTTAATTTTAACTTACCTACTATTGTTTGAATGTTAAATGGAATGACTTTGGTAGCACTTTTCATACATTTTTGTAGCTTTGGAAAGCCAATGTGCTCTTGGAATAGATTTAAACCATCTATCAAAAAATATCAAACCACTATTGACGAATAATTCCAATGAAGTTTTTCCTTGTTCCAATTTGTTTTGAAACTTGTACCTACATTCATACATTTTTTAGGGTTTTTTTTTCTAGAAATAAGAGTGAAATTGCTTCTTGCCGTTTTCTAGGAAATCCCAGGTACTTACTGATGGCAATAATTTGTTTGGTGCATAATATTGATCCAGCAATGCATATCTTGGATTGCCCTCAATATTATGTTTTTTTACAGATGTATGAAAAAAATCATTCATTCAATTTTGGTATTCAGTCAATTCAATGTATAGAATGCCCCTGCCATAATACAAGCTTGACCCACAGAGTTAAACATACTTTATACACACCCTGATTTACGTAACCCGAGCATTAGCATTTTCCAGGCTGCAGGTAGATTTAGTAAATAGCTTAAAATCCACCTGCAAGCTTATGCAAGGGCTACATGAATCAGCCTGTATAAGTGTTAGTAAAGCACATATCAGTCAAATAAAAAAAAAACTCCCACTAAAGGCGTGCCCTAGCTAGTCAGTAAAATTAAATATATATCTTTTTTGTTTCATGGTTAGTTTGTCAATAATTAAATCATTCCGTATTTTTTTACATTAGGTACTTTAAGTCTTCTATATTTTTACCATTTTGGTGCTGAGATTTCCTTTTATTCCTTATATTTTTAAGTTACTGCTGTGGCTGTCAGAAAAAAAATCATGTATGATTTTTGAGGTAGGTAATTTTTAATTAGGTATGTTTCAACATAAAAGAAATCAGTCGAGTGTGAGTGATTTTTGATTTCATGTTGGAAGAAACACTAAATTGTTGAAAAGCGTGATTACTAGTTCTAGTTGTGTTTCAATATTTTTTTGAACGTTGGTTTCACCATCTAGTCTGCCATATTATTATAAAAATAAAATTAATCTGTGTAAAAAAAAAGTATAATATAGCTGTAAGTATTTTATTTTTGTAATATGTATTTTGTAATATGTTTTTAAAAGTTTTATGGTTAAACCAATGCAAAAAAATAATGTATGTTTCAATTTAATAATTTTTTAAAATTAAAATGTAGGTATAAAAACATTCTGCTCTAATGAAGAATTTAATACCGGTGAACTTTATGTAATTTATTTCATGTTAAGAATAAATAAATAAAGATGGTGGTAGTAAATAAAGGGATTGCTGCAAGAATTTTTTTTTAATTAGCCATTTATAATTAAAAATAGTAATAGTTGGTAGCTCCATTAACCCCAATAAGTATGTACTTGTATTGTTTTTGTTATCCACCTAAACTTATTCTTTAGACATCTAAAGAATTCTGAAGCTGGGCCAGACTATATAGCAAAACATGTTAATAACAAAGTTGTATAACAAATTTGCTTTGTTACCGACCTCTGATGGATAACATAAAACATCCTATATAATCAGCAAAATGTTGTACAACACTGTGTTTTAAAACCTTTTCATTTAAAATTCTCTTACAAGTTATAAAACTTTGTTATTTAACATGTTTTGTTACATAGTCTGGATCCAGCTTAATACTTTATGTGGGCCTCAAAATAAATATTTAAATCTAAATTTGCCACTAAGTAATTTGAGTTTTACTTACTTATTTAATTTTTTGTTAGCGTTTTAAAATAAATATTTCTATAAGAGACTTATAATATAAGCACCTAAATCTTCTATAGTTAGTCATGTCTTTCAGAATGTGTTTGACATCTCAAAAAAAAAATATTTACGCTGTTGTATTTTTACCTATTTTTATTAAAGAGAAATAAACTATGTATTAAAATTTGATTAGATTGTTTATTGGTTCCCTAATTATATTACTGCAAAACTAGCCTGTCCAAGGTGCTGTTGTTGGACAATTCTATATAGGATTTTTGTTTGGGTTGTTGGGTTGGAAAATTGAATGCCCAATATTTGCCCCATAGGTATTATTATTATGCATTCCCAGTATAAGGTGATTTTTCGGCTGGGATTTGATTAATTCACAGTTGTTGCATACAAAATTCGATACAAAAGAAAAAAAAAATCTAAAAACGATTTATTAAAATAAAATTAAAATTAAATATATACAAGAATATGTTGTATCTATTTCGCTGTACGAAAGTCACTCCTTACTTCTTGCTGTATGTGGGCTTGATAAGTAGAGTCCGCGTCAAGAGTAAAGAGTACGGTGACGTCAAATGCGCACAAACCCAAGTTTTGTCTAAAACGATACCCCGCTGCTAGCTTCAGCTCACGGCAGACAGCGAAAGATAGACGAGGGAGAGAGATCCGACCCGCTTCGCGCAGCTTTCCATGTCGTCACCGTACTCTTTACTGCTGACGCGGACTCTACTGGTCGTCCTGACACCTGGGGCGAAATTCTTTTTTTGGGCTGTCCCAGGTATTCCTGAAAAATTCATAAGGCATTCATAGTCTCCTAGTCTAACTGTCTAGTCCAAATATAAATGACCAATGACAATTATTCAAAAAAAAATTTTTTTTTAAAACAATAGCCTTTGACTTGACAGGTACATGACTTGAAAATATAACTCTATATACTTACCGAAGTCGACTCAATACTTCTTGCAGTAGCTTTGAGAACATTAATTAATTGTTGGCAGAAACATCCGCAATCGGAAAACTCTATGCACTTCATTCAAATTGTCCATCCAACCAGCACCTTTGAGTTCCAGGCTCTGCGGCTCTGTTTTCTGTAGTTCTATGATTTGGAATGAGAAAATTACGAAGAATTATTATGGTGAATGGTGAATAACTGTACATGGACTCAAAAACCAGTGTATATTTACACAGTGACGCTTTAACCCTTCTCTGGCCCGTAGGTCAATTATTTGGTATGGCCTTTCATGAGTGATTGTTCTTTTTTATAGGGTTTAATAAAATCATTCAGACGATTTCAAACTACTAAGCTGGCAAAATAATATGAAGACAAAAAATGTTGCCAAGTAGTATTCGGTAAAATCAAAGAAAGGTACTATAAAATGATGGAACAAGAATGGTCACAAAACATGCTATATGGTCGGAAAGTCCTAAAAGAAAATGATGGCATTGAGCTTCCAGCCTACCAATCACCACATATGGATGCTGGGGACTAAGTGTACTGATGGGTGCTTGGGAAGAATAGCTGCATGGCTTGGGATCAAATCCATTAGCGAGGAAAAAATGCATAAAGGGTTGCAACACTGAGGAAAATTCGTACCACGTTGCCTGTGCATGTCCTACAAGCTCAACAACAACAAGGCACGACTTCGTGGTGCACTGGACCCTTAAGACACTGCTCAAGTCCCTGGATGCTCCAGAAGAAGCTCGAAGAAATTACAATTAGGCAAAGCAGCGCAAACACTAAAGGTAGCATTCCGATCCAAGAAACCGCGACAAGCGACCGAGACCGAGCGCTCGCGACGTGCGACCGCAACGGACTGCTTTGATAGATTTGTAGGCAGTACAGACCGATGCAAGCGACAGCGACACGCGACCGGTAGGCGGGCCCAGCTTGCGACAACGATCGCGCGACCGGTCTGCTCTAGAAGCAGTGGTGCTGCGAGACTAGACAGACCTAGAATAGATAAAACTTCTTAAAATGGCAAAGTTTTCTGCCCAGGAGCATGAATTGTTAGTAGATCTAGTATCATTTACTGAACTCAGTACAAAATTGAACTGTTTAGTCTACAATACTTCCTGAACTTTCCATCCGATGTTTCATCTTTATACTTCAAATGTCTTTTTTTTTTTAAGATAAACAGTTGGATGCATCCCTCATATGATTTTGATGTGTAGGTTTGGATCAATTTTTTGTCTTTTTCCTGGCGACAACGTCAACAGAACTATATCCTCTTCTGCTTCGTGTTCCAATAAACGTTTTCTTAAATGTTTTCTCATTTTGGTGTTTGACGTGGTTTCTGCAAGTTCACACCAATGCAGAATGCAGCAGTATTTTGGGGCCCTGCTGGGTCGTTGGTCCGGTCTCGAGCCGGAGTCGTGTGTACTCGGAAGCTATTTGTCGCCTCGCGACATGAGACCAAGGTCGCAAAGTCGTTCGGTCTCGGTCGCTTGTCGCGGTCGCTCGGATTGGAATGACCCCTTTACAGTTTCCTGCTGTAGTCGTTTCCAGTTGCCACGTGCTCATGTGCTGCGGTAATGACGCGAAGGCGATTCAGCGCAGCTCGGTGACTCTAGGGCGTGTTCCGGATTGATGCTTGATGGAGCGAGCGGAGCGATTCCAGAGCATCGTGACGTCAGGCAGTCCACTCTGGCCAAACCAAATGTGCTTGTGCAGTGTGAATTATAAGAATTAAATAGTATTGAAATATATGCTAGTCCTGCTATTAAACAAGTCGATGTTTTTAGTATAGTGGGCTTTTATATTTTATATTATAAATTAAAGGCCAGCAGTTGGCCTTCATTCTCTAGTGGCCCGTAGGACATGACCTAATTGTCCTAACGGATAAAGTGTCCCTGTATTTACACTGATTTTGAGTAGTTTATAAATAAATATATTCAAAAAAAAAATGCATGTATATTCTGATTTTTCATCAAACAGCGATTGGATTTTTATGAACCATTTCTCTACAATAGGATAGTTTATTGCCGATCTCATTAACACATTAACAGAAATAATATAATGGGCATAGAAAATTATCGTCGCTATTTCCTCAGATAAAAAAGCAAAAGCAAAAAAAGTTGAAAATATATATATACAAAGTTAACAAAAAATCTAAGAAACAAATAGTTCATAATTAGAAATTTCCTGTTTTTGAAAAAAATTAAAACGGTTTTCCTGCTTGCTTGATATCAAGTTTGATTTATCTTTAATAATTAATCAATATTAAACTGCAGCATTTCTTTAAAAATAAATAAAATAAAAAAATTATCGAATAGGGACTTTAGGGAGATTAATCAATGCTCAGGTCTTTAATTATTGTTCAATAATTTTCAATAACTAAAAAACACCTAAGGTAAAGTACCCAGTTGTTGACATGTTAAGGGTATCCTTGCTTATGATCACCACACATTTTACAAATTTTCACACCCAAGCCTTTGATATATTTTTTGGCGTGATTTCAAACTTATAATTAAATGTTTAAATATATTATTATTATTTACCCTATATTCCTATTATTTGTGTTATTATGCCAAAAATACCTGAAAGGTGATAAAACCCCGAGTAAAACCCCAATAGTTGACACCCAAAAAAGTTCACTTCGCCAAAAGTTGACACATTTTTGGTCCAAAGGTTGACATATATTTTTTTAAAAAAACAAATTTTTAATTTTAAGAAATTTTATCACGCTCTGTGAAACTAAGAAGTATATTTTTCTAAGTGTACCATTTTTTAAATGAAATATATGCACACAATAACCAATTATTTTTTTTTTTTTTAATAATGTTGTGGTTCCATTACTTGACACTCTTGAAACCAATAGTTGACATGTTCCCTGTATCAGTAGAAACCCTGGAAGAAACATCAATAATGTAAGAATCAAACTTTTTATTAATAAAAAATAACATTGGGAAACTTTTTGTTGGAAAAAAAATACAAATTTCAATTCCAAATTGGTAATAAAAGAAATTGCTTGGAAAGCATTGGTACATTGTGTTTTTTTGCTGATGTAGCTACAGTAAGCCCTCTATTGCAATCATCCAATGCAGCAATCATGTCTTCTAATAGTTCTGGTGCATATTTCAGCAATTTCCATTTTTCATAAAACATCTCTTGATTTAAACCTGAAAGCACCAATTGTTGACACTCCAAAGCTCCAAACATTGACAGGGGTAACAGGGATGTCATCTATTGGATATTGAATCTATGACCGTTACATTCCCCAAACCTATATCTAGGTTTCTTTTCAATCCAGAGCAATAAAAAGAGACAGACTACAATGTTAAAATATTTTTACCGCCAAAAATCCATAAGTTGACAATAGTGGCAACATTTGGATCACCCCTCGATTTGGGCTCCAATAGTTGACACCCCCCCTTAAAAAGTTTATGCCAGTTATTACAATGTATCTTATTATACACTAAATATATATTATTCACAAATTATCAACCCTACCTTAGCTTTGAGAACTTTTGTTTTTATATCTTCTTAACTACTTTCACTAGAAACCTGGAAAAAAGTTCAAACAATTGCACCTGTTTACTACTTCTTGCCACCATTTTAAAAAAACTTGTGATTTCAAATCCATACATCAGCTATAGCACGCAAGATGGCTCTAACAATACTATAAGCTATTTCAGTTAGCTTATAACCTCTATAAATTCTTATTTTCGGGAATAATATGCTAATGTGTCAACTTTTGGGACCCTGCCAACAATTGGGTACTTTACCTTACCTATAGATATTTTAAATCATAAAAGTGATAATACTAAATTCAAAAGCACGTAATTAAAATTTGATATGGGTAGAGTATTCGGTTAACCTCCTCGAACAAAAAGATGACAACTCCATGTGACTTTGTAACTTCAAATAAAAGATCACGTGTGCTCCTACCAACAATGTCATCTTTCAACTCGCCAAGGATTAACAGAACTTGCCGACAGAGCTGGGCAGGGCTTGAGTGCTTTGTACTTTTGGAAGTGCTTGAAGCACTTTGAGGACTTGAAAGCCCTGTGCTCCAAGCCCTTTTATATATTTGTAATTGGGACTTGCAAAGTCCATTATTCTAGAAAAGTGCTTGGTAATTTGTAATTGGATGAAAGTAATTTAAGCCCTTTCAATCAGCTTCAATTACTGTTAGAGGGCTTGAAGCACTTTTGATTTTCGATCGATGTGTTTTGTTGCTTAATTTTTTTTTCTATCATTTGAACTAGAACCGTCCAGTGTCTTTTCTCCCCCTAACAATGGAGGTTTTGGGTTTGAGCTTAGAATTGAGTTTTAAAAAAAAAATTAATGATTATATTATGACATTTCAAATAAATAATTAATTTATATTAATACCCTATTTAACTTTATCACTGGATTTTTTTTTTCACTTTTCTTCATTAAACATTTTTTGAAAACCTTAAAATTGAATTACCATGTAGTAGGTACCCCAGAACTACATCTCAAAAAAAAAATACCTACTACTACTACTCTGTGAAATTTAAAGTTCATCTCTACTATACTAATTCAACTGATGAGTATACCCAGTAGCTTATGCCAGTTTGAGAATTTTATTACAAATTCAAAGTGCTTTAGGCACATTTAAAGAGCTTCAAGCACATTTAAAGAGCTTCAAGCACATTTAAAGAACTTCAAGCACGTTAAAAGAGCTCGAAAGCACTTTTTAAGGCACCCCAAGCACTTTTGATGGGCTTCAAGCACTTTTTAAATCCGTTTGAGGGCTTTGTACTTGCCAAGCCCAAAGCACTTTGAGAGCTTTGTGCTTGTGAAGCACTTTTGAAAATAAAAAGGAATTTGTGCTTGAAATTGTAAGCACTTTTGATAAAGGGCTTAGTGCTTCAAGCGCTTTTACTGCCCACATAACACAATACCATCCTATAGATATCCATAGAATATCCGCAAAGGATATAGTATTTATCCTAGGGATATCCTAAAATCAGAGAGGGATATTCATGGGATATCCAGATGACACTAAAATAGATATCTTCATGACATCCCGTGACAACCTTTTTAGGATTATTCGGGATATTTTT